AATAAGACACAGTTAAAGGATTGACATTACATTCAGATAAAAAAAATTCCAAATAAATATTACACTACAGCAGCTGTAAGCATATCAATACCAGATCTCGCTTGGGATTATAGTGTGCCAGAATGATAGCTGCTTCTACACTTTCCTGAAGGCAATGGCTTGGCTATGCAACCATTTCCAAAGCTGCCCTTTTTAAGAGAACATGCAAAGGTGCCAGGATGGAGGCCAGGTTATGCATGAAATTTCCGTAATGATTCACCAGCCCAAGTAAAGACCTAAGCTGGCATCGTTGGTCACCCTCACTTCATCTTCTAATGGGTGTAACTCAGTCTTGTCGACTCTGTAGCCCAAGTAGGTCACCTGGGGGGCCCAGAACACACATTTTTCCCTTCTAAGTCATATGCCCACCCGGGAGAAACATCTAGACACCACGTCCGCGTTCTCTAAGTGGTCCTTCTTTCTTATTATTAGCACATCATCCAGATAAATGATGACCTAGAATAGACCTTGTAAAATGTTCTCCATCATCCACTGAAAAAGTGCACAGGCTGATGATTCCCCAAATGGCAGTCTCATATATTGGTAGAAACCATTATGGGCATTAATTGTAACATATTTCTGGTAATCCTCATCTAACTGCAATTGCAATATGCCTCTGGTTTTGCCCATTAAGGCAAATGGCACTGGGTGGGCCTTGCAGAATGTCGAAATTGCTTCCTGGTCAATACATAACATGGCCTTGGCTCCTTTGATAGTCCCTGGACCTTCCTGAAAAACTTCCGGTTATTTTATTAGGACTTTACTCAGGCAGCAATTTTCTAAATGAGAAATGTTCAGCCAATCTAGATGAATCTTTCTCAACCAATTTCACCCCCTCTAGCCTGAGCCTTTTATTACAAATCAGTGGTAACTGGACCAGCTGCTTCTCATAAGAGACCAGAACTGAAGTTATACCCTTAATTTGTAAAGATTCCCTGGTAATAAATTCTCGGTCCAGCCTAGCTCTTTTTTTAAAAAAATTCATTCATGGGATCAGGGCATCACTGGTTAGGCAACATTTATTGCCCATCCCTAATTGCCTGGACGGCAGTTCAGAGTCAATCACATTGGTGTGGACCTGGAGTCACGTGTAGGTGAGACCAGGTAAGGATGTCAGTTTCCTTCCCTAAAGGACATCAGTGAACCAGATGGGTTTTTCCAACAATCGACAATGGATTCATGGTCATTGTTAGATTCTTAATTCCAGATATTTTATTGAATTCAACTTCCACCATCTGCCGTGGCAAGATTTGAACCGGGGTCCCCAAATAGTTATATGGGTCTCTGGGTTAACAGTCCAGCAATAATACTAACAGGCCAACAGTGGCACCGGTACTGACCTTCGTTAGAACCGGGTGACCATTTAACCAGGCATTTATTTTGATTGGTTCTGATTTGGAGGTTGCTAAGCAATTTAACTGCTCCAAACAAGATGTAGCTGGTCTTTCCAGGGTGTGCAGTCTCCTGGATACCAGCCTATGAGTTTTTTGACTCAATTTAGGTTTAGTGGGGCTCTTTTGCTGTCTCAAGCCTGCACACTGACAGCAACTACAATGCCTTGCTGGTTCGGATCCTGAAAAAAATTTTAACCGTTTGGCCGAGGCTTGGCCTTGTTCTGGGGTTTCGCTGTATGCAGACCTAGGGTCCTTCTGTTCAGCATATGTCCCAAGTAAGGCTAAGCAATTGCCTTCACTCAAATGGTGTTCCCCAAACTCAGTGGAATTGATGAGGGTATCCACTTCCATCTGAATACCCTGCAACTCATATGCTCCATTTGTCACATTTTCCAATGATAAAGCCAGTTGTAGTGCTTGTCTGATGTCCAGTCAGGCTTCAGCTAGTTAGCACTTCTGCATAGTTACATCAATTATCCCACATACCAAGTGGTCTCTCGGCATCTCATTAAGGGTTAAACCAAAGTCACATGCCTCTGCCAGTTGTCTTAAACTAGTCAAAAATCCCAATGTGGATTCCCGAGATCCTCAAATTGCTGAGTAAAACTAATATAGTATCTCAGAATTAGAGAGGGCTTGGGGTCATAATTTTGTTTAACAAAATCCATCATCTCTTGAAAGTGCTTAGTATCTGGTGCCTCGGGGTAAGTTTAGGCTCCTAATATCTGAGAAAAGCTGCGGGTCCACAAGCTGTCATGAGAATTACTTGTTGCTTTTCATCTGCCACATTGTTTGCATGGATAAATTATGCATTCTTTCCACGTACTGGACCCGGTCTTTAATGGCAGGATCAAGCAGGTCAAGCTTTCCAAAATAATGCCATGATGCCAGAAATGATTACCCCAACTCAAAGCTGCCTGTTGGAAGCAAATTTCTTCAGGAGCCTGCTTTTCTCTCATCACCACTGAAATAACTCCATAGAGGCTGGTATCCCAACACCAAGTCACACTTTATTTACATGTGGAATCCTTCACACTGATCCAGATCCTTTGAAGCCAGCTCTCAGAGTGAACAGGATGTCTGACACTCCTGTTCTTATCTGCCAACTAGGGATCCCTAATTGGACCAGATTAACAGTTCCAATCATGGAATTCATATTCCATGAGGTCCACCTGGTTGATCCTTTGATAATCACTACAATTCCCAACTCTCTCATCAATGCCTTGTCATTCAGGCACTAGAAAGATTCTGCCTAGTGCCTTCAAACTGTTGAACAGAGAAAAAAACAAATTTCTAACTCTTAATAAATGCCACCTTCACAGAACTGAAAACCAAAAGAAATTACTTCTATCTACCAAGTTCCCAAATAATAACAATAAGTTATAAACATTCACCACACATGGAAGGGCGATGCAGGGTTAATGGAGCATGCAAGAAGCTGTGGGCATGAGTTGGTATGAAATATCCATGGATTGATAGGAGAGAACAAAGGGTTGGGTACAGGGTATGAGATGACATGAATTGTTCATGATGGGTATGCAGAAGAATGGGAACTTAGGTTTGGGGATGAGGGGCTGTAATTGATACAGCTAGACAACCAAATGAGGAACTATGTTTGAGAGTGTAAGAGTCATCTCAGCAGATCACCTTCGCACTTTCCCCACCTCTGTCGGCTTATCAATTTCTGGGATTGCTTGGCCTGACTCTATCCTACACCTGACTCCCCTGAGCAAAAATTGGGTCTAACAGGGTCCTTAAAACTAAGGCCAAGGGTTTAGGTATGGTGAGTCAGCAAATTTCTGGACTAAGGCTATCCATCTTCAGTAGCATAAATCCATCTCAAAGTATTGACTGGTTAAGAATTTCAAATGTACTATTTTAACATGCAACCTTTTCCTTGGAGGCAGTAAGGACTTCAATTGCTGGAAGCTAAAGTCAATAGGTGTGAAGCTGGAAAAGCACAGCAGATCAGACAGTATCCGAGGAGCAAGGAAATCAATGTTTTGGGCCAAAACCTTTCGTCAGGACTGGGGAGTGGGATAGAAGCCCAGAAGTAAACAGAGGGAGGGGGTTGGGGAGAAGGGGAGGTGGGATGGTGATAGGTGGATGCAGGTACGGGGTTATTGTGATTGGTCAGTGGGAAACGTGCAGCTGATTGGTAAGTAGAAAGATGGCCGGTTGGGGTCAGGTCAGGGAGGTGGAGGAGGGGGAGGGGGAGGGCTGAACATGGGATAAGGCTGGGGGTGGAGGGACCTTGAAGCTGGTGAAGTCAATATTGAGGCCATTCGGCTGTAAGCTTCCAAGGCGAAATATCAGGTGTTGTTCCTCCAGTTTACGCTTGGCCTCACTCTGACAGTGGAGGAGGCCAAGGATGGACATGCCGCCAGGGGAGTGGGAGGGGGAATTAAAATGCATGGCAACAGGTAGATTGGGTTGGTTGGTACATACAGAGTGCAGATGCTCCGTGAACCGGTCCCCAAGTCTACGTTTGGTCTCCCCGATATAGAACAGACCACATTGGGAGCAACAGCTCCAATAGATCAGGCTGGATAAAGTACAAGTGAATCTCTGCCGGATCTGGAAGGATTGTTTGGGGCCTTGGATGGAGGTGAGAGGGCAGATGTTGCACCTCTTCTGGTACCTTTCTCTGCAACCGCGTGTGGTGGAGAAGTTGGTTGGGAGTGTAGAGCTGATGAAGGAGTTGCAGAATGAATGAACCCTGTGGAAAAATCAGACCCCACCACCAAAAAGATATTTCCTTCCCCATTCCTGTCCACTTTCCGCAGGGACAGTTCATTCTGCGACTTCATCAGCTCTATACTCCCCACCAACTTTTCCACCACACCCAATACCTTTCCCTGCAACCACAAAAGATGCTGTCTGACCTGTTGTACTTTTCCAGCTTCACATCTATCAAATTTTCTCTTGGCTGTCACAACATAATGCAATTTTTTTTAAGTAGAAAATTCTCACAACAATGTTAACGTTACAACTAATACCGATGTTTCTGTTCTGGACAGATAGAAGTTAATCTATATTGAAAATAAAAACATGAGGTTTCATATAATAATGCAGCATTCTATAGCACTAACCAATGCATCATGGAGTGATGAGAAATAGAAGTTCAAATCCCCATTTAGCCACAAGTCATTGCAGCCTTTTCATTTTTGTTCTCTTGGGGCAGGTTTAAGAGCTGCTTTTACAGATGATTAAGTGTAGGTTACTGTCCCAGTTTCAAGAATTCCAAGACATGGTTAAAAATGCAAATTGGAGTAGCCACTAATTATGAAAAGATAGGTAAGAAAAGATCATTGAAATCCAGCAACATCACAAAACTGTTCAAATTTCACAGCATTTTTTTTTTGTCAGAACTGTTACCTGTTTAATCAAGAACGAACAGCAATCATATAATAAATCAATCAATCACTTCAATTTGTTCTGTCACTGCTTTCTCAAGTCTGTAACTTTAGTTGACAATGTATTTCAAAAACAAAATCTAGAGAATATTACAGCTCAGCATGGTTCATTTACTGACATTTGCATAATATTCCTCTGTAGAATTCTTACCTGGTCCCAAGGAGAAATTACTCCACCAAAGCACATGAAGAGGTAACCCATTGCAACCAGACATGCCCAAACAACAAGGGAGAACACATGCAGTAGTTTTCTGAAAACAGACTCCACACAGACCAGAATAAAAATTGTGAGGAATATAGCCAAGGCTGTTGGAACAGTTATTAGGAAAGCCACATGGTCTTCAATATCCTGGGGAAAAAGGAAATGAAAAGCTGCTTAAGTCCATGGCCATAGAATTTACTCAGTTAATAATCTTAGTTAAGCATCAAAATCATCTGAGAAAGAAGTTTGCGTTTTCAGTTTCAGAAGTTTACAGTATCTGAATTGTCATTCAAATAGTAGACTAAATTGACACAACCTAATTAAATCTGTACCTTCAACAGTTCTGTTTATTTTAGGAATGCATTGTAAATCTGTGTTAAACCAAATATAACCTTTGGTTCCAATGAAAGTTTAGTGATCTAAAACTTTTCCCTCTCCACAGATACTAAACTGTTGAGTGTTTCCAGCATTTTCTGTATTGACTGTTGTCACATTTATTGCAAAGTTGGGAAACAGACATTATTGACTTACACCAAGCGCAATTAAAATTTATATTTATAATGCTGCAATCCAGAATATCTAATTAAATGGCTATAGTTAGTATTGTGCTCAGTAGAGGTGGTTAATTATTATTTATGAAATAACTCTAAGCACTGAATTACCTACGCATTATTTCACCAATGAATGTTTTCAATTGCTTATAAACGTGGGATATTTGGCTCGCTGAGGTTTCAGCTACCTTTCAATTTCCTGTCAAGATTATAAACCTTCAAAACAAGTTGTGGCTCATCAATTACAGTCTTTATAGTATGCTGCTTTCTATTCCTAAGATGTCTCTTGTGTTCTCTTAATTAACAAAAAGTGATGACCAGATGGTAATAAAACATATTCTGCTTTGTTAAATGAAGACTAGAAGTTGAAGATTTTTGTCTTGCACTTGTCAAAACAAGGATGCAAGAGACAGACATGAAAAGAAAGAGACAACGTATTATACAGAGTGAGAAGAGGATGCTGATTGCCATCCCAATAATGGCCCAACCAATGTAGCAGAACTTTTGAATCTTAATTCTCAAACCAGGCAGGTAGCTTCTTATTGGTCAGGGCGTAGCCATGGAGAGCAGCAGAGTTTGACTATCTTCAAGACCCTTCATTTTGTAAAAGGTGCAATGTATATACAAATTCCTTTTCCCTACATTAAAAAGATCTTGACTATTTATGTATGTGGTCCTGGCTGATGATCTTAAATCAGTTTCCAGTGAAACTTAGCACAGTCTGAATTATTTCATGAATTATTTCGAGTAACAGAATCGCATCCAGAGGTGGATATCGTCTTCTGAGTTTTGCAGTACAAGCTTTTCACCACGAGCAGCCTGTTGCCAGCTGTGAATGGTCAACAGAACATGTTATTTGATATGAGACAACAAGGTGCAGAGCTGGATGAACACAGCAGGCCAAGCAGCATCATAGGAGCAGAAAGGTTGTTTGATATGGTTTGCTTGTTGTTGGGGCATATGACCTCCATACCTGGCATCAGGTTGGCACTGAAACTCATCACAATACTCATTTGTGGTCGGCAAAATATATTTTTGGCTTGATAGCAGCATTCGGTTAGTGGAGAAGTGACTTGTGGATGACTGCAAAGTAGCAATGTGAGATAGGCTTCATTTTTTCAATTCATTCATGCAATGTGGACATTGCTGGCTGGCCAGCATTTATTGCCCGTCCCTAGTTACCCGAGAAGGTGGTGGTGGTGAACTCCCTACTTTTACTGCTGCAGTCTACATGCTGTGAGTTAACAAACACTTAGGGAGGGAATTCCAGGAATTTGACCCAGTGACAATAAAGGTGATATCTAAGTCAGCATGGTAAGTGGCTTGGAGGGGAACTTGCAGGTAGTGGTGTTCCCCTGTATCGTCTGCCCTTGTCCTTCTAAACGGAAGTGGTCATGGGTTTGGAAGCTGCTGTCTAAGGATCTTTAGTGAACTTCTGCAGTGCATGTTGTAGATAGTACACACTGCTGCTGAATGAGCATCAGTGATGGAGGTGGAGCATTTTGTGGATGTGGTGCCAATCAGGTGGGCTGCTTTGTCCTGGATGGTGTTAAGCTTCTGGAGTGTTGTTGGAGATGCAGCCATCCAGGCAAGAGGGGAGTATTTCATCACACTCCTACCTTGTATCTTGTAGATGACGGACAAGCTTTGGGGAATCAGGAGCTGAGTTGCTCGCTGCAGTATTCCCAGCCTGTGATCTGCTCTTGAAACCACTATATTTATATGGCAAGACCAGTTGCATTTCTGGTCAATGGTAATCCCCAGAATATTAATGGTGGAGGATTCAGTGATGGTAAAAGGTCAATGTTCCAAACACCTGAGTAAGTAACACTCGTCCTCCCACTGCAACAGCTACTATAACCAGGCTTCAAACATCAATACTAACTACTGGCAGCAGTGCCTTCTGCTCTTGTGTCTTACAGGGTGACCCATCCTCCCAAGGCATCTCCTGCATAGGAGATGTCCTTGTCATCCCCAGTTAATAATGTGGACACATTGGCTCAGCCGTCATTTACACTGTCTTGGACATCCCAACAACATGGATGAGGATATCTCATGAGGATGCACGGTGTGTTCCAACACTAACATGTCAGCAGATGTGAGGGAGAAACACCCCAAGCTACTGTCAGAGGACTGCCGGAAACCAGGCACCTGCTGGGCCCATGACAGGAGGTGACCCTGTGGTCTCAGAAGTAAGGGACTTCATCCCAGATGCACAGGAAGGAGAAGCAGGTGTCCAGGAGGCTCTGGCCTCAAAGCTAAGAAGCTGGAGCGATGCAGTCAGTCTATCGATACACTGCTTGTTATTCTGATTCTATAGCAGTCTCTCTGCTTCCATGGGCAATTTGTTGGGGTGAGAGTGAGATGATGAGACATGAGCTTAGTCCAGGTACTCCATCCTCATAGGTGACAGAGAGGGTGCCATGAGGAACCCATCCAGAGGAGGGGTCACCTACAAGATCCTCTACACTCAGGAGACTGAGGAGATGACCGGGCCCTCCACTTCCACCCTGCCTACCCCCTCCAACCATTGGAAGTTCCAGCTGAGAAGGGTCAACTGGATCTGGCAAGAAGCCTATCCAGACACAAATCTCACTGATGCCACTCAACCAAATTTCAAAGGCCAATGTGCTCCACAATGGAGCAGGCTCCCTCCACCTCATCTGTGGAGTACTGGAGCTCATTGCACTGCAGCATGGTTTTCAAACTTCCAAACTTTTATTATGCCAATTGTTATTACGTTTCATGAATTCTTACGTTTTATCATTTCTATGGTTGTCCTGAATCTGTTTTGCCTATAGACTGTTTGTAGCGCACTGAACTTCTTGGCCAGTGACCAGGCACATTGGATGATGGTGTATGACAAGCATCAAATGCAGGCACCAGGTGAATATGCAGTGAGAGAGTGAAGGTGCGGCCCTGGTAGGCAGCCTGGTCCACGCTATCTAATGGGTCCCTTTCACTGTGCAGTACCTGTGACCGATGCAGCTGTACACTGCTTGTTACTGGTGTGCCCTGCTATACCAGGCTGCCCTTGCAGGCTGCAGTGCCAGTGCCATTGGAGGATGCCAGGATGGTGGCAATGGCTCCCTGAAAGTGGACTGCCATGGTCCGTAGTGGAAGGGTATGTGCAGCTGCTATTAGTGGACCATGTTCTTTTCTGCAGTTTGGCAGTGGGGAAAGACTGAAGTCTTTTTAAAGCAAGTGACAAACTAAACAAGCCAAAATTCTGCTCTGATTTCTATGTTACGTTTTCCTGTCAGTTAGTTTGTATTGCAAAATTGTAAGATCACATCCTGTGGCAAGTTGGGTTGTTAATGGGGTATTTAACAAGGAATGATGATTGTCAGTTGGGAACTCACCGCTGCAAGGTGGGAATTTTGCCATGCCACTTAAGAAATGTGAACAAAATATGACAGGGTGATCATTAAGATCAGCTTCGCCAATCATCTCATCTGATTCTCCTATTCATCTTACCCATGTCACTCAAAACCTGGTACAATTCCCCCCCATATGTCAATACTGGTAAACATGAAATTTTATTAATTGTTGTAATGACCCATCTGGCTCACTAAAATCCATTAAGGAAAGTAATCTGCCATTTTACATGTGAATCCAGACCCATAGCAGTGTGACCAACTCTTAACTGCCGTCTGAAATGACCTTGCAGGTCACTCATTTCAAGGGCAGTTAGGGATGGACAACATACAAGAATAAAGTCTTTACAGAAGCTCCAGAACTGAACTATTTCACTTGGTACAGGCTATTTTGGATCTTACATTGAGCCTTTGACATTGCACAATTAATAATCTTGTAGTGGCAGGGGTTTTAAACATCTCTATAGTTATATAGATAGGAATAGATTAGTGTAAGTGACTGTAGCAGAGATAGATAAACGTGCAATTATAATGGGGAATAATTAAGGAAATGGCAGTTATTAAATGAATACTTTAAATTGAATTTTCACTTAGGAAATAGGATACAGAAATCAGGATCCTGAAATTGAGCAAACAGTTCAGTGAGATGTAGAAGGGGCGACTTCTCAATTGGCATGGGGACAGATTCTGTATCCAGATAAGAATAGCAAAGCGAGCAATCAGAGCCAGAGAATCAGTTAGGGGCATTCAGCTTGAAAGGAACCACATGACATAGAAAAAGGCTAAGAACTGAGAGGGTAGTTCAGCATGAAGGTGCCCTTTCATCAACAAGGACTTTTTAAAAAGAGTAAACATAACTGTGGTGGTTGGGGTGAGTTGGGGGCCAGTGGTGGCAGGGGAAAATGGGGAATCCCACCAAAGGATGGCCTTTGGCTGTATCCCAACTTAGCAGGCACAGCGGACCTGTAAGTCTGAGAGGAGTGCTGACACATTGGCCTATTGATGAATGCTTGCCCCCACACAGTTAAATGGCCTTCAACTGCACATAAAAAGACTCTTAATGAGTATAGATGGCTGCCCGCCTCGTGGGCATGGACAGATGTGCAGGGCTCCAAACCCGACCTAAAAGTGGCCAGTGTCAGGAATAGGGGTTGGAAAGCCAGCATGCTAGTTGGCAACCTTGGTAGAGACAGAAATTCTGACCATTAGATCTGTCTTC